TGTGGCCACAGCATCCTGCTGTAAAAAGAGCTGTGGTGTCTGATGGTTGAAGAGGGACAAAGGAGCTAGGATCCCTCTGTCTAGCGGGCCAGGAGACACCCTAAACCAGAAGAGGGAGCCTCTAAGCCAGGTCTGGGAGCTCTTTGCCTGGTCCTTCTCGGGTCACCTTTGGATGGTTCACCCACCATTTGAGCCGCCCTGGCCCCTCTGCTCCCCTCTCCTGCCTGAACCTGGCCCCTCACATGTCCGGGCAGCTCTGTGCGTGCTCTGGGACGTGCCATACGTCCGCCATCTCCTTGCGCAGAGCAGTGACAGCTTCCATTCTGTCCCCACCCTCGAGTCCCAGCTTAACGGACTCCGGCCCCTCGTGACTTCTCTGAATGGGGAATGGTGCTCTGTCCCCTCGCTCATGAAACCATACCTGTTTTTTGCCCTCAACGCTCAGCACTCATAAGTGCTCCATAAATATTTGATGGATGAGTGAATAAACCCAGCCTACCTTGTCTGACTGTGTTACTAAAATAATTCAAACCCCGGGATTTGTCAAGGATGAGTTTTTAGTCCCCCAGAACACCAGGGTGGGGCCACAGTAGGTAATGGATGAACATTTGCCCATTTTGAGTTGCCTTTGCTTGGGGGATATGGTAAGCTCCCCATCACAGGTGGTGTGCAAGCAAGAACCACTCGAGGGAGTCTGCAAAGGATACTCAGTCTCTAGTAGGGAGAGGTGGGCTGCACTCAGGGGGCCAGTGGATTCCTCTGTGGCTCTGAGATCCTTCTAGCCAGAAAGTCTATGACAGTGATTCCCCGCATGGAAAGTTATTGATGAAAAACCCCCTGGGGGCCTGATTTACTGAGGCTCCTCTGTGCTCCTAGTAGCCAGGTGGCTAGAGGCCAAGCAGCAATGATGGTACGGCCCCAAGGCCAAGGGAAGGGCAGGTAATAGCTGGTCTACAGAATGGAGGTGAGAGAGAAGCAGAGATTCCGGTGGGAGAAGAGAGGCTAGAGAAACCAGGGAAGGCTTCTGGGAGCAGGTGAGAGGTGATAGAAAGTGGGAGGATGGAGGCGTAGTTGGGGTGGGGGAACGTGTTCCATGGTCAAAGGTTTGGAGGAAGGAGATTTTGCAAATCACTGGGAAAATTGTGAAGGTCAAGGAGGTGGCCGGCTGGGATGGGGGCTGGGGAGGCAGAGGACAGCCTGCCGACAGAGGAGAGTTAGAAGGGAGAGTTAGGGGTGAGGAGGAACAGGCGAGGTCACCTGGACCACCTTGCCTTCTTGTGGTGTGGGTGACAGCTGTCACCCTGCAAGGGGGAAAGCCATGTCCAAAGGCAGCTGATGTCTTTCAAGCTCTCTTCCAGGTCTGGTGACCCCTGGGAGCTCAAGTTGCCCTCTAGAAAATGGGGTGCTCTTCATAAGGGGCTTAGTACTCCTCTGAGTTCCTCAGACCAGCTTGGAATTACAGCTGGGAAGCTACTTACTCCCAGGAGGCCCCTGGCTGAGAGCACAGACCCATCAGGGTTCTCTGTGACCCTGGAACTGGCCGCCACCCCATGGTCCGCAGAGCCAAACAGTGTGACCCAGCAATGACAACAGACTCTCCCCAGCCGCACCTGGCTGACGGGGGCTGCGAGTTTTGTCAGCGTGGAGGATCTGCCTTCCAAAACCCTTGACCTCAGAGGCCAGCTCCTTTTCCTGGCGCTTCCCCTACTCAGGGCCGCCGCAGGCTCCCCCTGCCTCACCCCTGCTCGCCCCAGGGACAACTGTTCTCCATCTCTCCCGTGAGTTTTCACAGTCTCTGTTGAATTTTTGGATCAGCTCTCCCTGCTCCTGTAGCTCTCCCCCGCTTGTAGAAGGAGGCCAGGGAACGAAAGCATCAGGACTGGTTGGCTAAGCACTTGGTCCCTGCCTCTCACTGGCATTCCCTTTTGGATTTCCTTCCATCCGGCAGGCTGGGGGGGATCTCCGCTTATTTGGGACTGTCCTGAGCTCTCCGGAGCCCCTCCGTGGGTGAGGGACCCCGGTGGTGATCCCCAGAGACAAGAGTTGATCGTGAGGGCCCTCCGGCCAGCAGGAAGCAGGTGTTAAAGCCCCAGATGGCAAATGTCTCCCCATTCAGCAAGCCCGGAGCCAGGAGGCCCCAGGGCCAGGCTCATGGACCAGGCCAGGAAAGGCGGCTCTCCGAAGCCAACATGGACAGTGGTCACCTGCTCAGGGTGGAAGGTTCCATCACAGGTCCCAGCGAGGTCAGGAAGGTGAGCATCGGGATGGGCAGAACCTTCCAGAAACTCCCTTCTGGAATCACTAGAAAGACTCATCCTGGCACCTGCACTCATCAGCCTTGGATGAGTGATGTCACCCATGTGAGCCTCAGTTTTATCCCCAGGAAAATGGGGTGAGGATTCGCTGTGAGGTCACACGTTTTAGAACATGGCCTGACCTTCTGTGTTGTATGAAAGTTAGCTACTCCGCTTATTATCATCATCACATTCCCTGCCCCCAGGCTGGGATCAGCCGTCCTGGGGCCCGGAGGCCTGGAGACCAGCTCCAGGGACAGTTAAGCTATGCAGGGCCTGGAGACGGGTGGGCTTACTGCCTGAGCCCTGTGCTACCGGTGCTGGCGGCCGATCAGACGTTGGGGGCCTCACATGGGAGCCCATTTGACCAGATGGCCTGGGGGGGCCGCGACAGACCCACGGGGCCTGCCAGGGGCAGGTGCGGACTTGGCTTGGCACATCTCCTGGAGAATTCTTGGGCCGTGTCAGGCCTGGTAGGGACGGGCCCCAGCCAGGGGTACGTGCAGCCAGCATGGAATAAGGGTTCTGACTGTCCAATTCTCCCTCTTTGGGGTCATGTTCACGTTTCTTTGGTCTGCCCCTTTGCCTTTTCAGCTCCTCAGACATTGTCAATGGCCCGAGGGCTGGAGGGGGTCATGGTCGCCCCAGTAACCAACCACAAGGCAGTAGTCGAATTGCCTGAGGGGTCTTGTGGGTCAGGCTGGTGCAGAAACCCTCTCCCCGAGCTGAGTGGGGGTGACATGTGCTTGCACCTCTCACGGGAGGACGGTGGCCCACTCAGAGTCACAGAGCTCAAGGGGTCGGGCCATGTTGCAGCCTTGAATGTTCCCCACCGGGGTGGGTGGCCCTGCCTTGGAAGCTCTCCTGACCTCAAATGGCCCAAGGCCAAGTCCTCCCGGTGGGTTCCAGGCCTCAACATACTGTGTGTTCTCAGCCAAGTGCCCCTTCCTGGGCCTTTGTCCCTTGGGTGCAGAGATCCGGTTGGCCCAGTACAGGCGGAGATCCTGTGGTTTGGATGGTATCTGGACCCCGCCCACTCTGAATGGCCCCAAACAGGTGCCTGGCAGGGAGGGTGCCATCCTGTCCTTTGTCACCCTCCCAGCTATTGTCTGGACCCCGAGCGCTATTTAAAGAGCCGTCCCTGAGAACCTCCAGCCCTGCTGTGACGAGAGGGAGCTCTCCAGACCATGGTATGCTGGGGCTGCCCTGCCTCCTGACCCTGACCTTATTCCTCAACTCTGACCTCATCCTGTGATCTTGACTTCTTGTGTGATTCTGACCTTCCTCTCATGACTGAGCTCACCCTGACCTTGACCTTGCTCCTCTGACATCCTTGAACTTGACCTGATGTTGTCCCTAGTCCTGACCTTTTTCTTCACCCTTGGTGTTACCCCTGCACCTGGCTTACCCTGGACTGTCCTTAACGGGTGGTCAGTCTATTCATGTACATCCCGATTTGTGTCTCTGCTTCCTGGACTCGGTGGGGGCTGCTGAGGTGAAGCGGTGTGGGTCGGGGGTGGGGTAGGAACAAAGAAGAAGGGGGTAGAAGTAGACAGGGTGGGCTATGCTTAGAGGTTTCATAGCAGAAGCAGGACTCTGGTCCCATTGAGAGGACATGGTTCCTGGGGGTCCAGGGTTGATATTCCAGGATAGCCTGGGACCTACACAGACTGTCATGGGACCTGCCCTGCTGCCCTCTCTTTGCCTCTGTCCCCAGCCTCTTGGGTGTCCCTACAGGCTCTCAAAGGCACGGCCCTTTCAAGTCTCTGTCTCACACCTTCACTTTCCCTCCTGGCCTGAGAACTCTGACCTGGCTGTCAAGTCTCTGTTCAGAAGCCACCTCCTCTGAGAGGTCTGCCTTGATTGCCCCAATAGCATAAGGGCTGCTCTGTGCTCTTAGTGTCCTTCTGTCCTTCCATCACTCCCCACTGATCCTCTGTCTCTGGGGGATCCCTGGGAACAAGGCAGGGCCTGATTCAGTGCTGGGTCCCCGGGATTGGGCACAGGGCCTGGCGTGAGCCCAGCAGGCACCTAATCAGTGTCCCGATGTTCTGAGGTAGACATCATCTTGGTTTTATAAATGGGGACACTGAGGCTCAGAGCAGGCAACTGGTGTTCTCAGCATCGCAGGGTTGTGAGCCGCAAAGGCAGGATTAGAATTCAGGTCTGGGTGACCCCCTTCTGCCCCGAGGTGCTCCTTTCGGAAGATTTTCATTTTTTTTTTTTTAAGGGCACATTGTAAAAGGCAATTTCCAAGACGGCTGGGCTGGAAATGGTCCCAGCTGGGAGAGCGGGAGGCCGCCCAGGCCCCTGGGGCTCAGGGGGCCCCCTGGGGAGCCCACGAGAACAATCCCAGCCTCCCTCAGGGGGCTCTGGCAGGGGGGGCCTGGCACACAGTGGGGCAATGGCCCACAACAAGGACACAGAAGGCTGCCTGAGACGGGGTGGGGGACACCCAGGCCGAGGGCAGGTCTGAGGAGAGAGAGGGCAGACTATCCCACAGACGGAAGTGATTGTTTTTTATTAATCAGAGGGAAATGTGTATGTAATTATGTGAGATGAGCCCCGCAGGGAGGTTCCTTTCTTTATGATGTCTGAAGGGATTTATAAATATTACAGAGGCTTTACTGCACATAGCGTCCTGCCTGCCCCCTTTCAAAGGATTAGTGGAGACAAAGCACCCAGTAAAAGCTAATTAGAAGTCAGCTGGCGGTACAGCTCCTGAGTCCAGGAGCCGGAGGGGAAATGGGGGTGAGCGCGGTCTGGGGGGACAGGAGCGAGCTCGGGGAGGGGAGACCACACAGGGGCCGGGGCAGTGGGGGGAAAACAGGGGGAGCCCACGCTCCGGGGCGGGGTGGGCAGAGGCTTGGCACCACTGACGTGGAGGCAGGAGGGCTGGGGGTAGGGGGACACCCCTTGCCCCTCCAGCTCTGTGAAGCCCGGGCTGTTCTTTGCGGCCTCACAAGCCACGGCTGAGACTCCTCGCCCACAGAAGGCCCCGGTGAGAGCTGCTGGGGGCGAAGTCCCCTGGGGGGGTCTTGGGGACCCAGAGCTTTCAGGGAATGCTCAAGGGGGTGCTCTCAGGCCCCTGATATCCTGCGAGCAGCACATGGAGTCAGGAAGGCTGGCCAGAGACCTACCGCATGGGTGGTCGCCTGCTCTGCCTGCTGTGGAGACAGGCTCTGGCCAGCCGTTTCCCGATGGATCCGCACTCGGAGCTGGGCCCTGGGTGGGTGCTGGGGAGCCCAAAGGTGGGACGGACAGAGGGAGATGTGGCCGGACTGGGTCCTCTCTGCTATACTGCCTGGGTTCCCCCCACCAGGTCAAGAAGCTGCTGACTTGCCCATGGGGTGGGGGTCCCCAGGCTTTTGGCTTCAGGCAGGACAAAGGCCCCGCTTACTGGCCAGGTTTCCTTAGAGCCCGGTCCGTCTGCGGTGCCCCGCGGCCCAGGGCGGCCCTGTCACTCAGGACTGGGACAGGCTGGGAGGGGCAGCACGGCATGGGGGGTGGGTGACAGGTGGGATGCGGGGCTGATCTCGGAGGAAGGCCCTCTCACTGCCTCCCACCCGGCACTTCCCAGGCACCCAGAAGAGCCCGCAAGAGAGCGGAAGGTGGTGCTAGCTCCAATGTCTTCTCCATGTTTGATCAGTCCCAGATCCAGGAGTTTAAAGAGGTCGGTCAGTGTGCCCTCTGGGCCACCAGGAGTGTTAGCTCAATGCATGGAAAGCATCCAAGGGGCTGGCAAGGCCCGGGTTGCCCTTGGTCCCTGGGCGCAATGATGACGTCACTATCCTTAAAGCCCACCACATTGTGCCTCTGAGCCCGGAGACGTGACTTGCTGTCTTTGGGCAACCCCCACCCCTCTCTACCCGAGCCTTTGCTTGCTGCGTGACCTCAGGCTTCTGCTCTCTGAGCCTCAGTTTCCCTCTCCGTAAAATGGGGTTGCCGCAGCATGACATGAGGGGTGGGCATGGCGCCCCCGCTGTGTGTTGGCGTGCAGCGGGAACGGAGTGGGTCCGCCAATACTCTCGCGCAGGTGCCATGCTGAGCCAGGAGACCCGCTGGCCAGAGGTTACCCAGGCAGCGGTGTGCAGGATGACAGCCCCTTGGAGGGGGGAGGGCATGGGCTTGGGCGAGTGGGTCAGTGGCCGCTCAGTACCCCTGTCTCCACCAGGCCTTCACCATCATGGACCAGAACCGGGACGGCTTCATCGACAAGGAGGACCTGAGGGACACCTTTGCCGCCTTGGGTGGGTGACCAGCAGCTGGGGGGGGCTAGGGGCTTGGGGCAGAACTGAGCCCAGGCCTTCTGGAAGGAGTGGGTACCTGGGGACAGGCCAGGGCAGCAGGACAACCAGGGCAGGCCCGAGACCATATGAGGGGCTTGGGTGCCGTGGGTGGCCTGTGCCTGGAAGGTATGGTCCAGGTCAAGGACACAGGGAAGACAGCAGGTGCACAAATGGCCTGGCCTAGGGGCCCGGGGTGGGGAAGGGGGCCAAGAAAGCAGTGGGCGATGCTGGGAGAGGTGTCTGGACACATCCACAGGGTTCAAGGCAACCAGGTTTCAGCTACCAAGGGAAGCTGCCCAGGGAGAGGCCTTAAGGCATGAATGGGGTGGGGGGTTCAGCTCGCGGGAAGGGGGCATAACCGAGTCATGCCTGAACTATGCTTTGAGCTCCCGGAGATGTAATTGTCCCGTGGGACCATGAGGAACCCCAGAGTCCACCTACCCCCAGGTGACCTCCTCCTGTGGCATATGAGCTCTGAGCTCCCGGTCTTCTGGCCCCTACGCACCTCCATTTCAGCTTCTTTGGACCTCAGTTTCCTCATCTGTGAAATGGAGATAATCACCAACTCGCTCTCTTTTCCACGGAGGCCGAGGTGTTAGCAGGGGGTTGGGCAGTGAGGCTAGGAGCAGCCCAGTGCTGTGGCCAAATGTGTCCCCCTCTTAAGGTCCCCCAGCATGTGGGCAGGGCCTGAGGGCTGAGGCGGGGTCAGGGCAGCGGCGGGGAAGGATAGAGCTGAGCGCTGTTCTCCTGGACTGCCTGCGGGCAGGGTCCCCTCTGTCCCTCACTGTACTCCTGGGTGTCCCCGCCCCACCCCAGGCCGCATCAATGTGAAGAACGAGGAGCTGGAAGCCATGGTGAAGGAGGCGCCTGGACCCATCAACTTCACGGTCTTCCTGACCATGTTTGGGGAGAAGCTGAAGGGTGAGGGAGAGCCCACATCGCCCGGGTGGGGAGGGCAGTCTGGCTCTGTGTGCAGACCACTGGGAGCATAGGGCAGCCCCAGCTGCCAGCCCCCTGGGCCCTACCCCTGTTTCCACCTCTAGGCCAGAGTAAGAGGAGGGCATCCGGGGCTGGGAGGGGACAATTTGTGTGAAGACCCTCCTCCCACCTCGTGGGGCTCAGCAGGAGCTCGAGGGGCTCAGCAGGGATAGACCCCTAACCATGACCCCCGGTTCTAACCAGGGCAGCTCCCGGGCCAGGGGTGTGGGGTCAGGGCAGCAGTCCAGGCAGCTCTGTCCCTTTCTCTCTGGGCCCTGGGGAGCTACCCTCTGACCCTTAGTAGAGTTTTCCTGGGCTCGAGGCTTCCTTGGACAGAGGGAGGAGGCCAGCGTGGGCAGGGGCTGTCCTGGGAGGTGACGCTCCTCCCCATCGACACCGATGGGTCCGATGGCCGCCCTCTGATCTCCAGACCCTGCCCGAGCCCAGTCTTCAGCCCCCAAGTACAACACTGTCCTTTTGGCCTGCCAGTTCTCATGCACATCTTGGGTGACGAGAGAGCCCCAGCGATGCCCCCACGCCAACCCCACCTCACTAATCATGACCTCTGAGTTTTAGTTTCTTCGTCTGTAAAATCAGGCCAATCATCAGGAGGGTTAATACCATAATAAGTGCTCAGTGGGGTCTCCATGTACAGTTGCACAGGCTGTTCATAAGTACACGCAGCACCCTTGGTCATTACTCCTATTCCTTGTTTCTCAGAAATCTCCCTTCTCTTGCTCCAACTGAGGAAGCTCCCACAGGCCCCCCTCTACCCCCCGCCCTGGCCTGTCCTCTTCACCCTGGCTTTCTTCCTGCCTGTATGTGCTGTTTCTAGGTACGGACCCCGAGGAGACCATACTCCATGCCTTCAAGGTGTTTGACACTGAAGGGAAAGGTTTCGTTAAGGCTGATTTGTAAGTCCCCTCTGCCCTTTGCTTTGGTTTTTCTCTCCCCAAAGGTTCAGGTGATCAGTGAGCTGGGTGAGGTCAGGGCGGGTTGCCACCCAGTCTCCTACCCCTCCCAGTGCTTAGCCAGCTGGGGCAGTGTCTGGCCAGGAGCCAGGAGGGCACTGCCCTGTCCAGCTTAGCCATCACTCGGTGTCCCTTCCCTTCTCTGGGACCTGGTGTCCCCCATTTCTGTGCGGAAGTGTATGGGGAGTGTGGGGTCACCAGGGGCGGTTTTCCCAGTGGTAGAGGTGGGCCTTGAAGGGAAACGAAGGGCTACTTAGGCTGGGGCAGGGAACATTCTAGATGCCACAACACAACTGTGAAGGAACAGGGCTTAGCATTTGCGGGGTTGCTGAGGGGGCGGCTGGAGGTCAGGTGGGGGACGCTGAGCACAGAGAGGGTCTATGTGGGGTAGGTCCTGCGACAGGCCCTGGGCTGCAGGTCTGCACTGAGGGCCACTGGGCTGGCATGTGGAGGTGGGGGCCCCAATGCCCGCTCTGCCTCAGCCCAGCGAGAGCACTGAGCAGAGCCGAGCGTGGTGGCGGGGGCGGCCTGCCCAGTGGCTAGGACATGGAACTATCCCCTGCGAAGTCCCTTCAGAGCTTCAGAGGTCTCACCAGGCCTGTGGGTGGCCTGGAGCAGGCAAAATTTCCTCCCCAGGCACAGACTTCCTGACTGATTACTGTGATGCTTGTGGCCTTGGCCTTGAGGCCAGATTTGCTGCTCACTAGAATCATCCCATATGGGGTGGGGGAGGTGGGCAGGAGAGGGCAGGAAAGGGGAGCTGGGGGGAAACCAGCAAAGTTCCCTCTTGTCCCTCACACCTTCTCACCACCCCCACCCCCCAAAGTTGTGAGCCACATTTCCCCCAGGGCTAAGTGAGGGGTCGTTCAGGGCTCCTGCGGGCTGGGGCCCTCTCCTTCGCCCCTCACTCAGGATCCACGGTTCCCACACCCGTCTTGGGGATGCCCGCGAGGCACTGAGGGCAGCCCCTCTCCCGGCACGCACCTTCACTCCCACCAGGGCTGGGCCAGGAACACTTCTGGGACCCAGTTTGGGAACCGAAAGCCCCACCCCCAGGGCTATCGGACCTGGAAGACGTGGCTGCCTGCCAGGCAGGCCACAGAGGAGGCTCTGGCTGAAAGGGAGTCTGTGAACAGTCCCCAGCCCGGAGAGCCGGAAACTGTGACTGTCCCACAGTAACATAAATAATGGAAAATGTGCGTCGGTCCTTAGTGGGCTGGCCCCTGCGGCGCCGCAGGACACTTGGCGCTCAGGCCTGGCTCAGTCCCTCTGATCCCTTCCCCGCCTGCTGTGCCCTGCCGAGGGGCCCGGAGGGGGCCCTCCAAGCTCCCAGGGCATCAGTCCTGTGGGGCTTCACCTCCTGCCGCTCCCCCGGCCCTGGGGCCACTCAGACCCCATCCTGACACTGCCAGTCCTGACCTTTTGGCACCTTGGTTGTTCCCTCTATAAAAGGGGCTCATAGCACTCACTTCCCAGGGCTATGAGGAGCAAAAGAGACCTGGGCAAGGCAGAGGGCCAGCCCTTGCATTCTCGGAGGCACGGGGAAGTGTGAGCGAGAGTCGCTCCCTGGCCCAACTAGCAGGGCCCCTAGAAGAGACTGAGGGGTCCACCTGAGGCCACACAGACTCTGGCCGGTGTCCTTCTGGGGCACGATGCCTCCCCACCCCCTGTCCGCTCTCACCACCCCCGGGATCCGCATGTGCACACCCGGGGTCGCCCTTCCCCTCAACCTGACCCTTCCTCTCCCCTGAGCAGCATCAAAGAGAAGCTCATGACCCAGGCCGACCGGTTCAGTGAGGACGAGGTGAGTGCGGGCTTTCCAGGGCACAGCCTAGAGTCTTCCTGGGGAAGGTCCCAGCCGGCCCAGGCCCTTCTCAGCAGCCCCCTTCCCAGGAGATGGCCCTTCTTCTTTAGACGGTGACTTGATGACTCCCCCCTTGACTCCTCGGAGGAGGACAAGGGTGAGTAGGGCTGGCTGCAGGCCCCTGGCCATCCCCACCTCGACCTGCATAGAGGGGAACCCCATTCTGCCTGACGCCCTCGGGTGACCTCCCCCCGCCCCCACTCCGGACCCCTTTTCACCCAAGTCCAGGCTGATTCCCTACTCCTTCCCCAGGTCAAGCAGATGTTTGCGGCTTTCCCGCCAGATGTGTGCGGTAATCTGGACTACCAGAACCTGTGTTACGTCATCACGCATGGAGAGGAGAAGGACTAGCAGGCCAGGGACCCCCCCACCAACATTCGGAGGTAGCAAACTCCTGTGGTGTTTTGGGGGTGACCCCTGGTGAGCCCCCTACAGCCAACATGTGGAAAGGAATGTCTCCCCCCGTCCCCCCCCCCCATCCGAAGA